TTGGGTTTTGGGTTTAGGGTGTTGGGTTTTGGGTTTGGGGTTTTGGCTTGGGTTTAGGGTTTAGGGTTTAGGGTGCCGAAAATTAGGGATCCGTTTTCGGGGGTTTCCATGATTGTATTACAACCTTATGGGATCTATGCCGTCGGGTTCAAGAGTACACCAGGAATCTCGCGAGGGTTCAAGGTTGCAGGGTCTAGTGTTGCGTTTCAGGGTTGCTGCTTTGAAGGTTTAGGGTTGCAGGGTTTAGGGTTTAGGCGCGTTTGGCCTAGGTTGAGAGTATGGCCCTACGGTTTGGATTTCTGGGTTGCGATTTTGGGCGCCTGTAGAATACCCACATACCCTACGGATCCCTTGAGCAAATTGCTCGCAATCCCCAGATGACGTTTCTCAGAGCAACTCCATACAAGACCCAATAAAGGACCCAGTAATGTTCCTCATCCCTATCAATCTATCTATCTATCTATCTATCTATCGACCTATCTACCTATCTATTTGTCTATCTGTGTATCTGCCTCTCTATCTATCTATCTGTCTATGTGTGTATGTATACTGTATGTACACATGCACGCATATTGCTTGAGTCCCGTGGCCGCCTGCATGTAGTAGCTTCCCCGAATATTGGCCCCAAAACATTGAAATCCTACCCCTAGTTTTGGGAAAACCCTTAACCCTAAACCTTGTATGAACTTATGAACCCCCATATATCCCTATTATATAACCGCTTTTCGGGGAGCCCTACTTTTGGGCTACCCCCATGTTGAGAAGACTTCAACCCTAAACCCCATATCCACATATTACATTATGGTAACTTGGTTGAAATCCCTTAGCAGAACCCAGAATGCCCATGTCAGGCATGATTTGCGGCCTCGGCGCCCGCAGGAACAAAAAGTCGTAGTCCGGTGTGATGTGCGTTCCGTGAAGCCTGGGGGTTTTGAAAGAGGGTTTGGTTAGGGTATTCAGGGTTTGGGCTGTAGAGAAGCTGAAAGTTATGATGAGTCTGGCCCTTTCACAACCACACCAATGTGAGGACGATGAACCTGCAGCAAGAAGCCGCAACATTCTCAGTCCTAAAACATACACCCGAAATTGGCCGTCAAATTCCCAAGCGCCTATACAAACCCTGAACTCTACACCCCAAATTCCTGTCGTGCTTAGAAGGCCTCAGGATGTGTTGTAAATTTGTGTGCCTAGATACTGTAGCCCTGCCAGCTCCTCAAACTGCCAACCAGCACTGCACATCCATACCCAGAACCGGGAAGACCCTGAACTCACCAAAAAACCGTGCCCAGACTCGTATAGAAATAGAAGAGTAGAAGTAATAAGAAAAGAAATATTCATATCAGTAGTTTAAGGTTTAGGGTCTCATTGCTTCTTTGAACATCAGGCTCGGCTCAACAATGATGACGCCCATGATACCTAGGACTGCAATGACAAACTTATGCGAAACGTATGTAGCCCCCCTTCCCCCCAAACAGTAAAGCTGTTGGTATTTTCGTTGTTCCGCAGGGTTTGCCAGACCCATCCTCAGCCCAACCCTCGTAATGATGCTTTGGCATATTAGGGCTTGGGGTTTAGAGTACTAGCACTGATCTTTAACCCTTCCCCTTCAAACAGCTTATGTGCAAAAGTCCAGGCCCCACAGTGACGCTAATAGACCAGTATAATGTTGGACCCGCTTTATGTACGGGACCCCCCCCAAACAATTTTAGGACCCTGAATCAAGAATTGTTGAGGGGTCTCGGTTTTAGCAATTAGGGCTTCTTAAGCTCTGACTTATCTGAT